CGAATAAATAAATTTTGTTTAGTCGGACATTCGAATATGAAAATTGAATTTTTGAAAAACCTCAGCAAATCGGAATAATTTTTGCTCGAAAATAAAAATGGGAGTGGGTACTTTCAAAATCACAGAGGGGGTAAATTCGTTGCTCAGGGGGGGGTATTTTGTACCCTGGACCCCCTGGTCAGAATCTATGCATGCAACATCTCCAATCTCGAATGGTTTGAAGATATCTTATACTATGTTTGTGGCAATACATTGTATTCATTCAATCGAACCACAAACAATACCCAAAAGTTGGACGTCAAAGGCTCAGTTCAAGCGATTGCTGTTGATTGGATCGGTCGTCATTTATATTGGTTCAATCCATTACATCAGGTGCTCACTCGTGACAATCTCATCAATTTCAAACCAGAAATTTTATTCCCATTGACTGCCGTTGAAGTTGACATTAAAATCGATGCGATTCGAGGCTATTTGTACTTTTCAACTGGAAATTCGGTGGAATATTGTCGTTTAAATTGCAACGATAAAAACCGAAAAAAATTCTATTCCATTGAATCGTTTACTGGACGAAAAGTGATGGGTTTGACATTAGATTTTGATATAAATCGAGTTTATTGGATTATTTGCGGTTATGAGTCAGCAACGTTGGCGATTGCACCATTGATTTATGATGAATTCAGCGCCGTTGTGATAGAAGAATTTACATTGACCGAAAATAAAATTCTGGGACCATTGGCATATCTGAGCAATCGATTAATGTGGCTTCAAGATGATCATACGGCTGTTATTGGCAATTTGACGGGCAAAAATTTGGCGCACATTCAAAATATTGAATTGAGCGATTTGAGATCGTTTCTAGTCATCGATAAGACACAACGAAGCATTCTCGATTCGGATGTACCATTGAATGTTATTCCTGAAGCGGTGAATGCATCGACCATTCAAGTGATTGGTAAATGGAATTTCTTTAAAATCATTTGGCAACCAATCGAAACGGTGAATTACGGTGAAGTTTTTTATGAAATTCGATATTTGAATCAAACAGTCGTTGAAAAAAGTCCGTTCGTCGAAATGAAGGGTGATAAAATACCAGCTTACAGCCAATTGAATGTCACAATTAAGGCGTTTACATACTGGGCATCATCGGTGGCAGTTGAGAAAATTGTGTATTCACCATCGGCACCGCCATCCGAACCATTGGAACCACGTATTTTTGTCAAGCACATCCATAATCTACTTAAAGATGATTTGGACATTGAAGTGGTTTTCCGATGGAATAAGCCCAAAGCAACGAATGGACCATTAATTGGCTATAAAATACGATGTTGGTACGAAAAAGACAATATCCGTCACGAGAAGTACAATGATTACGAAATGCAACCCGAAAAAAATGAGGAATACATCGAAACAGTGGAGAAAAATACCACATTCTACTGTAAAGTAAGAGCCGAAACACTTGCCGGCGTTGGAAATTATTCATCATTGATAAGTATCAATACGCAAAATGAGAAGCCAATTCCGCAACTTTTTGCCGCCAGTAATGATAAAATTTATGTCGTTGACTTTGATTTAAAGCTCCATAAATCAATTGTAAATGCCGGCAGCAAAGTGGAACATTTGTGCTACATTGCATTGAACAAAGAGTTCTTTTGGACCAATGAAAACAATGAACTAATGGCATTCAGCCGAGACGGTCGCAAGAAATTGTATTCGATGAATAAACCGGTGCTATCATTGACAGTTGATTGGATCGAACGAATTGTCTACTGGTCACAATCCGAATCCAAAGGCAGTTCGATTAATTCGTTCAATTTAAACACGCAAAAATCGAATCGCATTCTCAAATCACCGCATTTTATCATCAATTTGAATGTAGCACCATTAAACCGTCAACTCTTTTGGATCGACAGTGAGTCGCATATTTCAACTCGCGGCAAATTGGTTTCACTTCATTTAGACGACGAACAATCATTGGCATTTCTTGATTCGAAAAATGAATCGATTTTTGTGACACAACAAACATTATTTCTTGATACATTCACGGTAGACCACGAAAAAGTGGTGTGGCTCAGTGATATCAATCAATTGATATCAACCGATATTCGAACAAGAGCGTCAACTGTCGTCAATTTTACATATCAACCGAACATGATGAATTTTAATCGCGATAGTGCTCGCATTTATTGGACACAGAATAACATCACCTTTGCCGAAAATCAATTGGAACAAGCACCGTACAAGCACACTTTCTTCTATCCAATGAAAATTTTACCGATTTTTCGACAGAATTATCCACCGATTCGTTGTTTGCTGCCGCCAAAAGACTTTTATTCGAAGGAAAAACTTGTCGTTAATAAATCCACTGATCGAACACTGTGGCTTAATTTACCAGTGCCAAAAGGTGTCGATAGCTGCTCATTCGTACCAATGTTTTGGAAATTTAGAATCATGTACGCCGAATTGGAAATTGAAGAGTCACAAATTTGTTCGGTAAATACATGTAATTCGCCTGAAACAAGTGATAAATTGATTGAAATCAACAATCTTAAGCCGTTTACCAAATATCAATTTCAAATAGGCATAAGCAATTTCTACACAGAATATTTGCACATGAGCCTAAATTTTACACGGCCTTTGGTGTTCCAAACGGAAATCGGTGCACCGTCGAGTCCGAGAAATGTTACGACAAAAATGTTGAGTCCAACTGAAATCTATCTTAGTTGGTTGCCACCGCTTGAGATCAACGGGCCGGAAATTCAGTATGAGGTTCACTATTCCACCGAAAATGAAATCAACGGAAAGAAAAATCACGTTAAAATGACTGTCAAAGGTAAGAACAATTGATTTTTCATCGAATTTTATAAATTAATACATTTTAAATCGTTTTAGGTGAAAACGTAACGTCAATTACCATAAATGAATTGCTGCCAAATCAGCCGTACATCGTATGGGTTCAAGCGCACACAACTGAAATGCTGTACAGTGAAAGTCCTCATATAAAAATTAAAACACTGCCCAACCCAGAAATGATTCAATTAATTTCGTCAACATCGAAATCTTTGACGGTTGCATGGGAACCCTACGTACACGCTTCAAAATATATGATGTTTTGTCGTCCAATCGAATGCAATGATTCGTTTGCTGATCTCATTCTTGATTCTGCGCACGAAGTGAATAGTACGAATATCCAACGAAGTGGGCACAAAGTGACCCTTTTAAAATTGCATCCAAAATCTCAGTACATTTTTTGGTTACAATTTTGGTTTAAAAATCGCATTGATCCATATACTTGGCCGCAAAAGGAGCGTTTTGTGTTTAAAACGTATACGGATCGACCGATTGCACCAGGCAAGCCTAGCATTATGATTCGAAACAATAAGTATGAGATAATCTGGGCACCGGCCGAAAGTAATGACTCCAAAATCGAAGAATATTGCTTAGAAGGTCTTCGAATGCGTGGTCTTAATCAAGCCGGCCATTCAACCAATTCGATTGAAAAAATTAGTCAAGGAAATACTTTAATGGAGCTGCGACAGACGTTTAATGAATCAGAACCAATCGCAGACTCATGGGTCGTTTACTACAAAGGCAATGATACATTTTGGAAAGTGGAAGGCTTGAACGACATTGCAATGTATTCGTTCCGAGTAAAAGCACAAAATGCGAATGGTTGGGGCGAATATAGTGCACTGAGCGGACGAATCACAGATATTCAACCGCTTTCAACAAATAGTGAACAACTTGTGATTGCTGTAGCCGCACCAGCATTGATTGCCATTTTAATTGTAACAGTTTGGTGCTTTAGTGAGTCATTTGAAAAATTAATTTTTTCTTCATTTTGGTCAATAATTTGATTCCGCTTTTTTTTTTTAGCTTGGCGACGAAAGCGATTGTACAATCTTCAAGGGGAAAGTAGTGGCTACAGGTCTTATGCAATGCTGTCATTAACAGCCTGTCAACATTATATGGGTCAACAAAACAACCAGAATCATCACCACTAACCATAGAAATGAGTCAAGTATAACGGAATTCAATCTCTATTTCAAAATCAGTTTCACCGCAAATAGCACCTGTCAACTCGGTTCTAGATAAGAAATGTTAAGTGGCAAGAACAACATCATACATTAATAACAGAAGTTTACCTTAGTATGAGTTCCAAGAAGAGTTATGCCAATAAAGTTCAGGATTTGGTTAGCTTATAGGCTTAAAGAAAATATGAACCTAAAAACATAGCAAAGTTACAAAACTAATGTCTGCGTTGTCTTTTAAGTAACTGGAATAAAAAGAAACTAACTGAGGGAATTTAAAGAAAAGCTTTTACTCTAATAAGAATGATTTTCAACTGCAATTTAAGGGTGAGCAAATTTGTTATTCAAAAATCATTTGCTTCAAATTTATTTCATGGCATATATTCTCAGAAAATGTCTTTGTAGAAAATGAAGTGAGGAATAGGTAAATAAATATTTTCGCTGCACTGTCTCAGACAAGTTCATGATGTGAATGTATGCAAAATATTTACTTTATTATCCAAACAAAATATGCATAGATTCATTAAATTGACGTCATCCGAATTCGAATTTCAACAGGGCCGGTATTCTAAAACAATCCACAAAAATCGTTCGGAATCATTTGTTTATATAAACAACTCAGCTCAGTGAAAACAATAAAAGTTATTGTTATAACTATATTAACACTCACATTACTACACTCACTATAACAACCACTTCAATTGTTTTCAGTCCGATTCAGCGCCTGACCGTAGCTAATATTTTGAATGTGTAACAATTCTTCTTTATATTTTCAATGTTTGGCGACAAATGTAGAGCTCTATTAAAGTTATATTTTGGTACTTTTGGTGTCCATATTTGACGCCAAACGTTGAAAAGACAAACAAATATTAGTTTCAAATGAATAGTCCGCTCAATATATTGTCGGAATAATTCCACTGTTGAAAGAGGTGTCGGAATAATTCCGAACAAAATAAGTGGAATATTGTTTATTTTTTTTTGTCTTATGAATAACGACTATTATTCTCGTTATCTGCTACAATATTATTCAAAACAATATTCATTCAAAGAAATATGTTTTTCGGAATAATTCCGAACAAATTGTTGGAAAGTGGCATTAGAATACCGGCCCCGAAATCGATGCTAATCATTTGTGATAAACTCAATGGAACCAAAAATGACATGGACTTTATTTTTGCATTTTAAATTGAATCTATTTATGTGGTAGAGATGCTGAAGAGGGCGAAAAAATAAACAGCGGCGATAATTTCGGATATTCATTATGCGGCATAAAAGACCGGGAATGGATCGAAACATCGAGAAAACAACCAATTAAAATTAAACCATTACCATATAAAAAGCCATTTTACAAGCCGTTCTATATAAAATCAAGATATAATGTGCGATTTACATAATGATTCATGGATGAACTGTAATCGCATTGCATAACAACACCCATAAAATCAGTTTGTAATAAATAGGTGTTGTTTTAGGGCTAGCCAATAGATTGCCTTGAGCAAGTCCAAAGTATCCAATAACATAGTTTGACATTTTTACAGGTGGAAAATTAAAAACTTTCAAATTACAGCATTGACTTTTGACTTGCTCGCAGTATTTTTTATATCCATCGACTTATTTAGATTCAATCAGTGAAATATCGATATATTTACAAATAAAGATTTTCTTTAGCACTGCCGAATCTTTCGTTATTTTTTTCAATTAATCGCATAATTTGATTTTTCACTATCAACATTTACATTATTAAATCCAGTAAACGTCACAAGCTCAGACTTCCAGAGATGAATTATTTTCGAAAAAATTGTATCATATTTGGACTTATTACAAATCTCCCAACAAAATGCACTATCCATATCTAGCTATATATCTAGTTCATGTAAAATGTTGACCTAAAAATGTAAGTTTTTAAGCTGGATGGCGTTCAAACTACTATACGGTTGAAAACTGATGATCAAATTTATGACACCTTTAGTTTAAAGATGAAATTTTCTTTCTCAATTTATACATTTTTTTATTTGAGTATTTCCCTCAGTATCTCCTTCGGCAATTTTTAGTAGATTTATATTTTCAGCGTATAAATATGGATATGACGTCAATTTATGCAAATCATTCATTTGAATTTTTTCAAAACGAATGTGCATAAATTAGATACATCATAGTAACTGTCATCGGTTCAGTTGAATCTACGACTAAAGTTTCTCACGAACAATGAATTTCAATGATCAATTTCGCATTTTAATGAGTACCTGAACTTGAATAAATGTCACACTTTTTCCAAGCGTATAAAGGGTAACCCAGCTCTGTACATCTTTCAGTAAGTCCTTGTCGACTGAATGCAGAATTTCTGTAAGAGCCAAGGAAAATGTGTTCGAAATTTTTCATATTATTGTTGGTTGGACTCATAATTTTTGAGGTGAGTTGAACACAATCTCTAAAAGAGTAGGAAAAATATAAAAACCTACCTTTTGATTTGAATCTAGCAAAATAACGATCAAAAAGAAAAATATCAGTTTGCCAATAAAATATTTCAATTTTAATAGTTCTCTGTCATCGAAGCGGATGGAAATTCTTTTGATAAAAATCCTGAAGGAAGCGGAAATAGTGGTGGTAATTGGTGGAGTAATTTATGTGGAAGAAAAGATCGTGAATCAATCGATCCACCAATAATTACGAGAAAACGATCCTTCAAAGTATCACCATCCCAAGAGCCAATACCGCCACCGCCTCCAACTTATGTTGCAAAAAATATTTCTCCAAGTATACACCATTCCGCAATCAAAAGTCAGGCTCACTCTTACACTCCAAACGATGAAAACAGCCGTGCAAGAGAAATGATCAACGAAATACCACAAACGAATCCACCAATCCCAGTGAATGCTCCAAGAGTACCTGCTGTCCAACCGGTTGAACCTTCCCCACCCGTTCCCCCAAGACAACCTCTAGTTTATCAAAAAACGACTCCATCGGAACCACCAATTTCAAATCGATTCATTTCAAATCCAACCCCATCGGTGTCGCATGTACAACATTCACCAAGTGAACATCAAAATTCAGAAAGACGGACGTCAGTACGAGATATGGCCAATCGTTTATCAGCCATGAATCTTCCAATGGGTGGCCAACCTCAAGCGGTCAGAATGTCAAATTCACCGCCACCAAATCGGTTTAGCCCAAAGTCTTATTCACCACCGCCACAAAGATCGACATCGCCAGTTGTTTTTAGTGCAGCAGATCAAAGCACCGTCGTATCGGAAGAAAGGCGGATGTCCATAAAAGAAAGAGCCAACCAACTTCAAGGGATGAAGTTTCCGTTTGGTCAACAATTACCGCAACCAATTAGATCGAATCCAAAACCAGTAGTGGCAAATATACCCGCAAAATCACCTTCAAAACCCCCAACACCTAAAGGTCCACCTCCACCACCACCACCACCTCCTAAGCCTACAAATGGACCTCCAAAGGCACCCCCATTACCTCCAAAGGCACCCCCATTACCTCCAAAGGCACCTCCATTACCTCCAAAAACAGGACCATTGCCTCCATTATCACGTACACAGGCAAGTTATCAATTTTCACGTCAAAATCAACAGCCACAAAAGAGTGCACCAGCACCACCAAACTATTCATCAGCTTCAGGTAACAGAGTTACTATTGATTATAATGAACTACCTTCAGTATCGCAAAGAGCCAAAAATCTTGATTCACTAATTCGAAGTGGGGGCTTTGCATTCCCACAATCTAAAGCTTAATTATACGCTTTTCAAAGCGGGTTCTATTTTTATTGAAAGATTAACACTCATTTTTCATTAGACTTTTGTGAAAGATTTTCCAAATCTTATTGACCAAAGCATTTGAATGTATCATAAATTGAAATTGTTTATCCATCGAAATTAGAATAAACAATAATCGACTTTAAAGTCGAACTTTAAGTTGTCTATTTATATACTTATTATAAATTTTTTAAGACGAATAGAAATTGTAGATTCTATTGATAAAACAAGTAGTAACTGTGCTAGTTTTTTTTAAATTAAAAACTTTTCTTAAAGAGAATTAAAGTTCGTTCGACCTTCACAATATTTTTTCTTCATATATATTATGCTAGCTGCTAGCAAGACTCCTTTGATGAAGAAAATATTAAAATGAAAGTTCATATGAGATTTTTGTATGACAGATTTTGGACGAAAATTTCAAAAAAGCCGTCAAAGATGCTGAACATTTCAAGAGACGACCAGATGAGGGTGACAACCAGGAATTGTATGCCTTGTATCAGCAAGCAACTGTGGGTGATTGTAATACTCAGAGACCGTATGATTCACAAGCAATCGCCTATTGGAATGCATGGCACCACAAAAAAGGCACCAATACAATGAAAGCTAAAGAGAATTATGCCAACAAAGTTCGTGATTTGGTCGGCAGAATCGGTTTAAAATAAAAAGAAGATGAATTGCGTAATACACCAACATTCGAGAAAATGGTCTTTTTTTGCTAGAATATTGCAAGAATAAATTTCATATTAAAAAAATTTGATCGCAGGAGATTTTGATAGCTGTTAGAACTTAAAATTACGTTCATAATTCAACTTTAAAGTTCGAATTTTCAAACTGAATTAATTCGAAATATTGTTGATTTGTTACACATGTTGACGCATTTGCCGTCTGGAATTTTTTATAATCGGGAACATGTTATAAAAAAATTCCAGATACGTTTCTCTTGAAAAGAGTTTTACACGTGTCGCAACTAGGTTTGTATTGCTTGTGAAAAACATTTGGATAATAATATTATAAACACAAGTCAAAACGTGTAGTCTTCGTATTGGTTTATAACACTAAAGACGACTCCGAATCGTTTTCAAAACATTTACGCATGTCAGAATAAATAATTAAAAATTCTTAGAGTTCGTAATGCGAATAATTTACAAATGAAATTCTTTTATATTTGCCTGGCGCTGTGTAATTGGTAATTCCATGCACACATAAACGTATATAAATCGAAGACATTTTATTCGAGTTTTATCAGTGAGCTGACAAATTTTGTTAAATTATCTTTACTTGGCAGAAAAAATGTTCCACAAACTTTTCGCTTTGTTTTTAATCGGGTTCTTCGTTGCCGAGGTTTGTTTGTGACTTTTCGGGGTTTTATTTTGTCTTACCACGAACTTTCGTCCATAAAAATTGATGTTTTTGCTAAAATTTCGATTTTCTTTTGGTAAAGAGCGTAAATGGGGCACCGGGCGTGAAAAATTTGATTTCCGAATATGAGGCCAAAATCAAGTCCGCTACACCAGCAGCACCAGTAGAAGCACCAGTAGAAGCACCAATCGTGCCGGCACCACAATTTCCTCTAGATCCATCTGAGCATACAATCGATCAAAAAATGAACATATTCGGAGGTAGCATCAAATTGAAGAAACAACCTTTAAAAGTCGCTGAACCACAAACATCTGTGGAATCACCAGAGCCAGCCGATCTTCCAATTGGTGAAAAGATGAAGAAATTTGGAGGCAGTTTCAATGAGAACAAACAACACGCTGATCATAAGCCCACCGGACATGGAAAACACTAGTGAATAAATGTCACAGTCACGTCCATTCATCGCAAGAATAATATATTCCATTTTGTAAAATATTTTTTACATTCTCTTTAGTTTGATGGGAAAAAATTAATAAATTAAATACGCGTATATTTTAATTATTCAATTTTAGTTTTTGTTGAATTTTATTTCCATATTTGATGAATCTTGCGAAAAATTTATCGGAGATTGATAGTTACCCATGTCGTGAGTCATACGATTTAAAAAAAAAAATGGTTTGGTAAACCATGATTGCGATGCGAATGAAAAGTTGACTCAAAATGCTCTTGAGATATCTCCATAAGCAAAATCAACATCAAAAATGAATGTTCATTCAATCAATTTCTTTTAATAAAGAATAAAAATGATTTTACCAACAAAGCACCTTACCAAAAAAAATCCCATCAAAACCATTTTTAAATTCATTGTCATTAGGTTTTGAAATTCTTATTACTGAAAATGAGACCAATATCAAAGAAACCACATCAGTATTTTCAGTAAAAAGCAGAGCAAATTGTCAATAAATGTATCAATCAAAAAGATGTAGTAAATCCAGCACCACAACAGCCTCTAAATCTATCAAAACTTCAAATTGACCATAAGTTAAGTTTGAATGACTCGAATAAACAGTAACGCAATAAATAAAGTTCTTGAAATATTGAAATGGACTATATTCACAATAGCTTTGCATGTCAAGTAAAATATATAAATAAAATGTCTTACATCCGTAAGATGAACTTTTCCGCACTGTGATCCACGACATGAAAGAAAACTAAATCTGACATTAGTTTTAGATAAAAATAATTTTCGAAGCACTTTTCTTACAAAAACTACTAGAAATGAGAATTTTTGTATCGGAGCCATGCCTATATGATATCGTAATCATGTGAAAATTTGCAGAGGTTATTTTTTTCACAAAAAGGTTACATTCTGAAAGTTTGAAGAAATTTCAATGCATATTAAGGGTACTTCCCATACAAAATTTCGTTTTAGAGCGAAAAATCCAAAATATTGTTCGGGAGGTGCCCCTAATATTCGTTGAAATGTCTTCAAACTCTCGGAATAGTATTTATGTGTGATAAAAATAACCTGTGCAAGTTTCAGCTCATTACGATATCATACAGGCATGGCTTCCATACAAAAATCCAAATTTTTTGAATTTTTTGTATGAAAAGTGTTTCGAAAGTTGATTGTATCGCAAAACTAACGTCATATTCGGTTTTCTCGTACCCAAAAACCCCCCTATACACATTTTTGAGTGTTTAAGAATACATTAAATATCACTTTTGGAAGAAAAATTGAATTTTTCCCATGGATGGACATGGGCATCACACCAGACATGACACTTTACCCTGTCAACCAAAGTCGCTCAAAATCTAATGGTTTCTATTCCTCGGCACCCCCAATCATCCTGTGAAGTCAGATTTTGAATTACTTTTCTTGTTTGAAAGTTATTGTGTTAACAAATTTTTGCGTACAGGGTACAGGGTACAGGGTACAGGGTACAGGGTACGCACATACATTCGGACATCGAAAAAACGCTGGATTCGTGTTCCCTGGCCCCAAAAACACCCAGAAAACACATTTTTTATGGGTGTTAATTTTTCGACCGATTCCAATACTTTACCTTACACACTAGGTGTGTGCGGAAAAGTAATATTTTATATACTCATTAGTATATCATAACTGAAAAGAATCTCACAATTTCGTTTGCCTTGAGAAAAGAATTACACGTGTCGAAAATCCAAATTTCTTATCAAAAAACAATTCTTCATTTTAGGTGGTGTCTGGTGTGCACACCATTGCTGCAAAGACACTTAGTTATTAGCGCCATCTAGTTCGTGCGAGAAAAAATCTTCACATTTCACACACGTACTATTGAGTTACTTCACTATGCAATACAGTGAGGGCGCCAGTGATACGTGTTTTGCAGCAACCAGTGCTGGTGTGTGTCATAATATGCGAATGTTTTTTCAACTTTGTTTTTATTCCCAAGCTTATTATCAAAATTGAAGCGAATCGATTAGTAGATGACTACAAATTTGTCGTATGCATGTCATAATAATAATTAAAAATTCTTATACTAATATGATCGCAATGTAATCAATTATAAATGCATTTTTTTTTCAAATAGCTTCAATTTCGTCCATACAAGAAAACGTATATAAATTAAAGCAACTTCAGCTGGAATTCATCAGTAAGTTTTTTTTTTTGAATAATATTTTAGTAAAAATTCACGATAAACAAAATGTTCGTTAAGTTGTTCGCCTTATTTTTCATCGGATTTTTTCTTTCTGAGGTAAGTCTCGGGTGAAAAGAAATATTTTCCATATAAATTGAGTCTGTAGTAAAAATCTCTGTTAAATTCTCCGTTTTTTTATATTTGAAATTTCAGAACCTGATTGTAAACGCAGGTGAAGTAGATCCATCTGAAAAGAAAGTCGGTGAAAAGGCTCAATTGTGGGGAGGTAGTATTAAAACCAATAAAGCATCGTCCGCTGAACCCGCTGAGCCTTCAACACCTGTTGTGGTACCACCAAAGGACAAAGATGTCTCTGAGCTTCCAGTTGGATTGAAGGCTGCACAATGGGGTGGCCGTTTGAACCACCTAGGTCAAAATCAGCCACCAAAAGAGAAAGATTCGTCTGCTCTTCCAATCGCCGAGAAGATGAAATTGTTCGGAGGAAGCTTTAAGAAGGACAAAGATCCAAGTTTGTTATCAGTCGAACAAAAGGCCAGCAAATTTGGAGGCTCCATCGTCAAGAAACAAAAACATCCAGCCCCACAAAAATAATAATGACATTTTCTACAGCCACGTCAATTACTTATAAATATAAATAATATCATTCTGTAAGTGTGACGCAGGTTTCTTTTTTGTGCTTCAGCAAAATTCGAAAATCCGAATAAATTATAACAAATTTCAAAGTATAATGCACAGGTGTTTTATTTGATTACGCAAAATGAATTCTCTCTTTTTCTTCTTCTATTTTTCTAACTGAATTGACGATTGACGTCACATAAACGATTTGAAAAATTAAAACAGCGTACAATAATTTCTCTTATAATGCCACTTGATATTGTGGGTCAAAAACTATATTTTTTGTAACTTTGGTCACACTGAGCAAAAGTGAGCAAGCCATAAATATTTTTTTTTTCATCGATATCTCACCCTGTAAAAGAGATCTTTTGGAAAGACTACTATTCCACCTCTTTTCAAAAAATATTTATATTTATTAGCGAATTTTTGTGATCTTTCAATGTTCAATATTCATCAAATAATAATTTTCTTTGCTGTTTTAAGTATTGTTTTAAAAAAAATTGTTGGATCTTTACCGAATATTTCACCGGTTTTAAAAAAAATTCTCCTCCCTTGCGTGTATCCGGAGTAGTGACACTAAAAGTAAAGCTTTGACTATCCTTACTGTAAGCTGTAGCGGATCGTTTGACATACTCATGTTGTCTTATAATTAAGTCACGTATAAGATTGGAAGCTGAATTTGAGCACCATGTCGGGTCTAATTTATACTGACAACCCGGTTTTTTAACAGTATCATTTACAAATACATCGACGTGTCCACAGGACTGCTGAACACCCATTTTGGATGTATGAACGATTGTCACGAATTTCCCACAATCTTTGTGGATACGAAGAGTTGCCTCTTCGGGATAACCGGAATTCGACGGATCAAATGCTATAATGTTAGTTTAAAGAACGATGCATTCGTTAAAAAGTAATTTTACTTTGCGGCCAACCAAACCAGCAACGTGACCTCTCTCGCTGTAACCACTAAGCGAAATTAAATCCAGTGTGACTTTAGTTTCCGATGCAATTCGTAAGATAAATTGAGATATCCAATTGGACGTTGCTTCAATTCGATCGGCCCAAGCACTCAGTTTGCACTGTTCACCCGGGGCATTCGCACCATGCGTCAGTTACGAAAACGCAAAACAGAATACGGAGCGAGACACGAAGAAAGTAGTTTATGTGCGTATACGCTTCATTCTTTGCGTCTTATTCGTTGTTCCCCTTTTTCAGCTGTTTGCATGGCAAAGGCTGCTACGCTACATAACAAAAAGATGAGAAAGGGGAATAAAAAATGAGACGCAAGGCACGAAGCGTATATGCAAATACACTACTTTCTTCGCGTCTCGCTCCGTATTCTGTTTTGTGTTTTCGTAACTGACGTACGGTGCAAATGCCCCGGGCGAACTGAGCAATTTGACTGCTTGGGGGGAAGCGAATAATCCCTTCCCAATTCAATTAATCCGTAAGAGACAATGCATGCAGCAGCTTTTGATTTTTCCAATAAAGCTAAATAAAGTAATGACATTTCAGTCATATTTTTGTGGGCTTTTTATTTACAAAATTGTTCATCTTTATAGATGTCCTATTAACATCGAAATATTAACATATCTTATTACTAA